ATTTATTCAGATTATTTAAAATAAAAAATTATTTTTTTTATTAATATTTATTTTTATCAAACCTAATATGTCAATCTTATAATCTAAAAGCTATTTATACATTAATTCTATTTTATGGCTATTACTTTTTATTTCATTAATATTATAATATACAATGTTTAGTTCCAAGTTACTTTTTTCTAATTAACTCTATTAGTGATGCTTCTTTGTATATTAATTCTTAATCAGAATGAACTTTTTTACTAATTTTCAATATTTTAGAAACATTTATTCTTTCCATATCTAGGTTTTTTGATTTAACTAAGGTACTTTTCAGTAGCTATAGACAGAATTTATCTGCCTATTGTTTAAACTATTAAGCTTTTTTAGTATTTCTTATAGTATATTTTAATGTTTTTTAATCTATTGTATAATTAATGCTTCTTCTTTTTGCTTTGTACTGCTTCTTGTTTCTTCTTTTTGTTTTTTTTTCTTTTTTGTATTTACTTTAGATTTAACCGACTTTGACTTCTTATATTCAAAGTTATAGATATCTTAAAAGCTTAGTCTTCTTTTTTGTTTTTTATTACAATACTTCTTTATATTTTTTTAATCTGATTTATTTGGTTTTATTTTTTTTTGCAGTGTTTGTTTTTCTTTATATTAAGACAACTTGTTATAATAATAAAAAGCACTTTTTTTTTACTTTCTTGCAATCTTCTTCAAATTCAAAATATACAAAGACTATACTTTTTTTGTTACTATTACTATTGTTTAGTATAAATAATGTCTTAACTTCTAAAGGTCTTAGTTGTCTTAACAAAGTTGACTCTAATGCTGATTTTGAAACATTTTATAATGCTGCTTTATGTTTTTTTCTTTTTTTAAGCACTTCAGAATTAAATTTTCTTAGTATAATTCTACACATTGTTATTTTTTCAAAATGCACTAACTAGCTTTATGCAAGAGAACTTAGTTTTTGCTAATTCCAATCTGTAATTTATACTAATGCTATCTTTGTTTTTTTTAGAGTTCTTTATTTAATTATTCTTGTTTTTTTATAAAAACTTAGACAATATATAACTCTTTCATATTTTGTATCTTTTAATAAGTCTTAAATTGTTAGCATTATTGTTAAATCATCTTTTTATTTAGTTTGTTTATTTTTTTTTTGTTTTTGCTTTAGCATCTCCTTTTGTTTAAGGTTTTTTGATTTATTTTTTTTTAAACTATATAAAGTTATTTATATCTTTAGATGCCTATCTTAATGCATAAATGTTTTTATAAAATCTGCTTTCTGAATTTTTTCTTTTCTCTACTATTGTATTCTTTTTTTTTCTGTTATTATATCTTAGAAGTATTAGTTTTTTTGACTCTTTTGTTTATAAATCATATATATTATACTTTGTTATTAACAGATCTACTTTATTTTTAATATTTGCTTCATTTAAATTCTTAAATTTTTTTTTTGTTTTATTTAGTAAAACCTCTGCTTGTTTATTAGCTTTATCATCTCTTTTTTTGTTTATTATTTTTATTTCTTCTTCTAAGTACTTTTGTTTAAGACTAATTTTCTAAATTATTAACTATGTTAATATGCTTTTAGCTCTATTTTGTCTTTGTTTTAATAAGATTTACTTTTGACTGCTCTGTTGTTTTATTTTTTTTTCTTTTTAAGTCATCAATTTCTTTTTCTGTTATGAAGTTTTTTCTTTTTATGCAAATCTCTTGACTTATTAGTTATAATATTAATAGTTTAAGCTTTATTTTTGTTTCTGTATTTTGTGCTTTTTCTTTACTATTATATATTATATCTTGCATATTATTTTTATTTTTTTTTTTCTTTTGGTTAATTAAACCATTTTCTTATTATTATAATTTTTTTCTTAGTAATATTTCTGCATACTTCTTTATGTTTGTCTACTAAAACTCTTATAATATATACCTATATTGGATCACTTGCATCTAAGAAGTTTGTTATATCTGTATCTATTTTTGTAATATATTCTTTTTATTGTTTAAGTAGGTATACTTTTTTACTACTGTTCTTTGATTTAAATTATACAAATCTTTAATTACTGCTATTGCTATTTCTTGTTATTAGTTATTTGTTTAACTTTATATTTAATTTTGTTCTGAAAACTTCTAAACTAATTACTAATTTAATAACTATATATGCTCTTGTTTGCAATACTCTTTATTTAGCTAGTCATATTTTGTGTTTGTTGAATGCTTAAATATATTTTGTTTTGTTTACCTGTTTGTTTACTCTAACTTATATGATTGTTTACTTTGTGATTTGTTTATATATCAATTGATTAGCTTTTCAGAAATACAGTTAGTTTTTTAATTTTTCTAAAAATTTTAAAAATTTTTTTAAAAAACCTTTTAATGTTTTGGATAAACAATTTTACTAAGAAGTTGTTTTAAAAACTTAAGCTATTTCTGAGTTTTCTTTTATTTTCTTTAGTAGTAAAGGATCTGTTTTTTATAATAAATTTTAAGTAAACTTGGATGTATTATTTTTTTACTTTTATAAAATTAAGATTAGCAAAAAGAGTTGATTAAAATTTATTAATAAACTTTAATATAGTTCTAGCATATAAAGGTATTGTAATAGAATTTATTTTCTTATATATATTATTATATATTTATTTTTAGTTTTATATTATATTTTATATTTTTTTTTAGTATTTTATATAGTTTATAAATTATTTTTATTAGTTTTAATTGTTTATTTAATAGGTTAATATTTATTTTATTAGTAAATTTCTTATAATATTTTATTTTAGTTAATAGTTGTTTGGATATTTAAATAATATTTATTTAATATTATAAAAGCTTTGATCAAAGAATTTAAATTATATCTCAAATGTTTCAGATGTCTCAGAAAATTCTAAAATAATAGAACAATTAATTTAATTATAGTCAATCAATATTTATTAAATAAAAGTAATTTTATTTGCTATATATTTTTTATATTTAACTATAATTATTTTTAGTTATGCTTAGAACAATATCTGTAAGAAGGCTTTTAAAGATCAAATAATCATAAAAAGTTTTGTAGATAAATATATAAATTATACAATAATATATGTTTTATTTTTAGTTAATATATAAGTTATTGCATAATAAAGCATTAAGTATTAATATAAATAGAAAGACATTGCATTGGTTTATTATTTGTATTCAAACTTTATTAGTATAATGCTAATAGAATTTCTTAATTGCCAAGATATTTTGAATATTTATATAATTTAGAATAATGTTACAATATATAGTAGTTCTAAAACTAATTAATTATTAAGTTAAAATCTATAAAAAAAGTAATTTTTTGCTCTTTTAAAAAATAATTATTAAAATTTCTTTTTTTTATATATAAAAAGTCTTTTGTAATTATTATTTTATCCAAAACTCTTTAATAAAATAACATACTGATTATTATTTTTTTAATATTATTAATAAAAATTATTATTATTTTTTTTAATATTAAACTAGCTTCTTTTAAAACTAGGGCTTTATTCAGTAATTAGAATATAAGGACTCATAGTCAAGGGCTCAAAGAAGTTATCTTACATTAAAAAGTACAATTAGTCATATATATATTTTTGGTGTCTAATTTAAGTAGTCTGTTAATAGTTCTATACTAGCTGCTATATTTGCAATCTAACTAAAGATATTGCTTATTTAAACTCTTTGTACTGTAATTTTTATTGTGTCATTAGATCATTTCTGATATATACATTAGTCAAAAAGGTTTAGATAGTTTTATCTATACTCTTAGAACTTTATATCTTATTTTATGCAATATATCCTTAGAAGCATCATTATTAGAGCCTTTTGTGTCTTACAAATAGTTAATCTTTTTTTATATAACATGTTATAGTTACTTAATACTTGCAGTCATAGCTAACCTTTAACTAGTATTGTTATAAAACAGTTTTTTTTTTAGTATTAAGATAACCTTTTTGGTTTTAGCTTTTTATTAATACTTATATCAAGTATATGTTTTATATAAACATATTCATATTGAACTATCAGACAAGTATACAACTAGCTATACATATAACTTTTCTATATTACTTATTTAAGAAGTTTGTCTAAAGGTTTTCTATCAGTTGCTATATCTAAAACTCTTGTTTAGATGTTTTATTTAAACTTTTTGATCTTACTCTAATATTAATTTCATCAAATCATAGATCCAAATCTATTCACTTTTAACCATAAGACTATAATTTATAGACTATTTTTATTTTTAAGATAAACTTATCAAAGTGAGCTGTATTCTTTTTTGTTGCTAATCTGGTTTGACACTATGGTCAAGACTAATACTTGCAGTCAGAATTATCCATTATACTGCTATTACTCTTGTAAAGTTTACTCAAACCTGATATTTATCTTTCTAACTTTTTTATCATTATTCTTTACTAGTCACAACTTAGAACCAACTGACTTCTCAGACTTTTAATCCAGATAACTCAGTATGGTATATTTATGTATTCTTTTTCTTTAGCAATTCTGGTAGCCTGATTGGTCATATGCTCTTCTTCATATTTTGTTATTCAGTTTATCTGATAGTTCTTATGAAGGTGTTTTATAAGCTTTCATTAATTCAATAGTATTATTGAAAGTTTGTAATATTTTTTTATTCGGAATTTTCAAGTGAGTTTCTGTCTTCTTAGTTTCTTAGTCTTTTATGCCTAGTAGTCTTATTACAGATTCACACTGAAGCCTTATTTTTTTTTTTTTAATATTAAGGTGAGTACTTGCGACCCAGAATTTTATTGATAGTACATTCAGCTAATGATTGCATTACAACCACAGGGGGCAACCATGGAAAGAGTGTACAACTAGCTACTCGTAAAACTTTAGTCATTGTCTAATTTAAGTAATTCACCTGAAGGTTTTACACTAGCTGTCATACCTGGAATCTGCTTGCAGATTCTTTATTTAACCACTCTGTTCCTGTATCCATCCACCTAGGGACCCATAAAAATTTTAATATAAATTAATGCAAATTAATGCAAATTTATAGTGATAAAACAAATTAATGCAAATTTTTACGAAGTATAATTCACATGATTTGGTGTAACATAAAAACAAATTTGATTGGCTAATGGCCAATTACTACCAATCAAAATTGGCTACACAAATATGTAGTTTGTTTAAATAATTTCGAAGAATAGATTATCGAATAAGCTTCAATAACGATAAGAATACTTTAGAATAATATTTACAGATATTGTAGAGACTAAATCTTATTTGTTATTTAATTAAATTATTAAAAAGTACAGTTTTTTAGCGTTAAACTAAAAAAAGTAATTAAAGCCCATGATAAAAAAAGGAGAAATTTAATTAATCTAAAAGCGAAATATTCAAGAAAGGATACATGTAAAATCATAATACATTTTATAAAGAAAATTGTATTTATTTATAAAGCTTATTGTCATTTTTAAATTAGTATAGTCATTGAATTTCATAAGTTTAAAAATCTTGCATTTAATCGTATATACTAATTAAAAATTTATAGCGATAGTAGTGCTTACTATAATAATTTGATATAATAAAATGGTTTATTATAATTAATATAATATATACATATATATATAATTACCAAGCGATAATTTGTTTTATTTTACATTACTTTGTTATAATTTAACAAAATGCGAACAAAAACTATAACAGCAGTTTCTCGAGCAAGAGATTTTTCAAAAGACTTTTACTCAGAAAATAATCTTCTTATGTGTCGCTTTTGCAACTATAGTGTTAATTTTATTAATATTACCTTTATTAAATCTCATCGTGATAGTGAAGTTCATCAAAGAGCAAAAAGAACATATCAAAATTTACAACGTACTGATAGACAACAAACTTTAGAAAGTATAATAAAAGCAAATGAGCATAAAAATTATATCATTGACAATTTATTAACAGCATGGATTAGTGCTGATATACCTATAGAAAAATTGGATAAATTTCATGGATTTTTACAAATGTATTGCACTGAAGGTGGAGCAATTCCATCAGCTGATACTTTACAACGGCAGTATTTACCAAAAATTTTTCAAACACAATATCAACTACTTAAAGAAGAATTTGCAGAAAAATGTGTATCAATTATTATTGACGAAACTACAGATGCATGTTCAAGAAGTGTAATAAATACTTTATTTAGTTATCGTGAAGTTACTAAGTTAATATCTGTAGATTTTTCTGTAGAATCAGTAAATAATGTTACAATAGGATAGCTTATTATTTGTTTAATAACTGAGTGGGCAATTCCTTTTACAGTGCCAAAGCTTATAGCATCAGACTTAGCTGCCTATATGAAGAAATGTGTTTGTGACATTTTAGTAAATATTATGCCCCAAATTAAATATAATGCTTGTAGTGCTCATATTATAAATTTGATAAGGTAATTAAACTTTTATATATTCAATTACACAAAGTTATAATTAAATTATTAATAAATATATATTTATAATAATTAGTAATGTTTGGATTACATTAAGTAGTTTCGATATTGTTAAGCAATTATTAGCTGTAATTAAAAAGTCTTTTTTATATTCTAAAGCCTAACATAATTGATATATGTTTTATTTAAAACGACATGGACTTACTGAAAATAATAATATATCTAATAATGATAAAATTTTAACTTTTCGATTCATGCCTTTACCAAATGCAACTTGTTGGAATTCCTGGCTAAAATTTGCTTTTTATATTTCTGATTATTTGGAATATATTCGTAGTTTTTATTTAGAAGAAAAGCAAAATGAAAAAAATGAATCTGTCGAAACAATTAACAATATATTTGAAAATTCAAATAATAATAATTTAGTTGAAATTTATCTTATTTTTTTAAAATCATATGGATCTGAATTTATCAATCATCTTAATTTTTTTCAAAAAGAATCAGAATCAGTATTTCCATTAATTGAAAGAAGAATCGAACAATTAGAACTTTTTTTAAGTAATAGTATTTTAAATACTAATTATAGAAAACCTATTACTGATATTATTCAAAAATTTAATACAGATCCTTCTGTTTTTAATGAGGTTTTTCAAACATCTTTTAAAATTGCAAAACAAAAATTTGATGATCATTTTTTGAACCATCCTTCATGTCCTCTTTTTAAAGCTTCACATATTTTTGATCCCTGTTTTCCTCAATTATCAATTAATAATCATGATATTTCTAAATATTCTGAACAAATTTTTGAATTAACAAATCCTTCTGTTGCTTTACTTCAAGAATGGTCTTTATATTGCAACTTAAATTTAATTAATGAAGGTTACAATAATTTAGACTTTTTTTGAAAAAAAATCTTATCAACATTACCTCTTTTAAGTTCAATCGCATTAGATTATATTTGGCTACCTATTTCTTTATGTAGTGCTAAGCGTAGCTTTTCAGCATATAATAATATTTTACAAGACAAATGATATAACTTAAGTGAGGAATCTTTAAAAATTCTTACCATGATGTATTTTAATAACAAATAATAAATTTAGATATAATAAAAATTATTTTGCAAATTAATGCAAATTTGTCTATTAATTACAAATTAATCCAAATTTTTACAATAACGCAAATAAAGATCTGGCATAATACAAATAAATTTTTATGGGTCTCTGCACCCACCTACCTACACCTACCAAGATGCCTCGGTCGATACCGATTCAAATATGTCATGGTCACTAAGTCTTTAAAGCAGTTCACTTACATAAGAAACCTTTGACCTTGTACTAAACCTTCTAGAATCTTTTGTATCCCATTCTTATAGCTGACCTGGTATCGCTATAGCCGAGACCAACACTAGTGGTCAGGGTGTACTATTAAACCACTATGCCCTTGTAGAGTTCACCCCAACCCTGGTACTGAC